TAGTGCATTATAAAATACTTTGTTTCAATAGTATTTACTAGTAATTATTATGGCTATAAAAAAAATTTCGTATTACTACTTATCATTATTGATAAAAAAAAAAAAGATACAAAGGACAATGCTTTAAACACTTATTAGTCCAAAGGCTTAAGGCTTACACTCTCCTAATAAATCATTCATAAGATGCAAATAGGTTATGTGCATGTTTGGTGTAGTTGTAGCTTTTAATATAAGTTTTGTGAGAAAGAAACTATTGTTTTTGTAAATAAAAAAAATGAAAAAAATAAAAAAAAATGTGTTAATTTTATTAAAACTCAAATAAAAAACTCTTGTAGAAACACTAATTCAGTGTTTTTGAGATTTACACTGAAATGAACAAAAGACTAATTTGTGAGAAGTTATAGCATTTTTCACAAATTATAGTATTTAATAAAACTAAAACTTAAATCTAAAAGACTTCTCACCAGCTGTATCAAGCATGCGCTAAATTAGATAAGTCCTCAAAGACATGAAGAACCTTTCTAAGTGAAAGAATTCCGAAGCCATATGATCTGCACAATAGTTTGTTTCCCTAAAAATGTGGTGTATACCTCACATTGCCACTCTCATTGTATAAGGCTATATGGCGTGAATATGGCTATCCATGTCCTTTGTCCAACAACATAAATGGAAGAGGTCCAAAAACTTAATTATTGCCAAAGATATGTACTTGCCAATTGCTGCCCATACTCTATTTTTCTAGATTTAACCTGGGAAGACATTATATAACAGCTAACAAGTCCTTTTCCAACAAACTTATTCTGATATGCAAAAGAAATATATACAAAATTTAACACTAAGGAAAAAATAAAACAAAAATATTAGTTAACCATTAATCTCATAACATAAATCCAAAATCTTCATTTCAAAATCAACCACCCTAAATCCAAAATCATGAAAAGGAACGAACGAAGCCACCCGCAACATATTCCATCCAAATTGGTCTTAATAGTAGCCAAATACATGCGTGAAAGATGTCCTTACTTGAAAAAGACTATATAAAGTATCCTTAATTACGAATCACATGTAACTTAATATAACGTTTAATATAACTTTTCAAGTGTTTTAGTATTTTGATATTATTTATATTTCATAAATTTAAATTTATTTATTAAAAATTTATATTTTTAAATATTTTTTTAATTTTAAAAAGATTTTAAATAATAAAAAATTAAAATTTTCAAATTTAAATTTTTCATAAATTTATTTTTTATTCTCTGAAACCATCTTGGTATAATATACTATTGTTACCGTACGGACTTCTCGAGCATTTTCAACCTGTCCCTGTTTCCAATATTGGTAATTGGTGGGATACAAGATATTTATGATGGACCCAACCACACAGCATCAGCACTCATTAATTAAACATGTTATGTTAGTATATATGTATGTCTTGACATATCCATAATTTCCAATTAACTACGTAACGCAGAATTACAGAACAGGCAAATTCCACGAATCAGTCGATGTATATATATAAATAGATATGCAGCCAGGGCGCAGTCAAAGCAATAAAGAAACGCCGATATACATATACATATATCGTCTATGGAAGAGGAGGGGGAAACAGCCATGAAGACACACCACTTTGTTCTGGTGCATGGTATTGGAGGAGGAGGTTGGTGCTGGTATAAAATCAGGTGCCTCATGGAGAATTCCGGCCATAGGGTTTCCTGTATCGATCTCACAAGTGGTGGAATTGATCTAACTGATGCGGATTCCATCCACTCTTTTGATGTCTATAGCAAGCCTCTCATGGACTTTATGTTTGTGTTGCCCGATCAGGAGCAGGTAACGTAATTAATTTAATTTTGTTCTTTTAACTCATCATTAATTAATGTTTTTATATATAAACTGATCGATCGATGTTATATATATTTTCTCTTTTTTTCTCTTTTGATGGAATATATTTTCTCTTTTTAATTTGTTGGATAAAATATAGGTTATGGATATTTTCATGATATATATATGTATATGGTACTACATATTATATACTGTATGACAGATGTAGGAGATGATCATACTTAATTACAGGTAATACTAGTAGGACACAGCGCTGGAGGGCTGAGTGTAACAGAGGCAACTCATAAATTTGCAAAGAAAATCCGTGTTGCAGTGTATTTGGCAGCCACCATGCTGAAGTTGGGGTTCCAGACGGATGACGATCTGAAAGATGTATTACTAAATTAATTAAACCAACTAGCTAGTAGTAGTTACTCTGATTAATTGTGAAATTAATTTGAAAAAGAAAAGAATATATATATATATGATTAATATTTATCACCTACAAAAAAAATTAGATAAAAAAACCTTTAAAATTATATCATTTTAATCAAGTATTATGAGAAAAAAATATTTATCACCTAATATAGTTTAGTATTTTTTCACTTAATAATTTACAGAGAAATGACTAATAAACATTTATTCCTATATAGATATATATACACAGTACAAAGTAATTAATATATTTGATGATTTAGTGTAACTTTTGATCTCTTAATTGGTGAATTAATTACAACAGGGAGTGCCTGATCTATCGGAATTTGGCGATGTCTACGACTTGGGATTTGGATTGGGCGCCGATCACCCTCCCACCAGTGCCCTTGTCAAGAAACAATATCAGCGGACCATCATTTACCATAAGAGCCCCCAAGAGGTATATATATTTGCAATTGCATAATTAGTTCCTTAGAAATTAGTTAATGTTTACACATCATATAGATGATTAATAATGAATAATTTCATGATCAATTGATGTGATGAATCGATCGAGTTCAGGACTCAACCCTGGCAGGGATGCTGTTGAGGCCAGGACCTATCCTGGCAATAACCAGCGCCCGATTCACAGAAGGGCAAGAGGACAAGCTGGTGCCCCGTGTGTACATAAAGACAGCACATGATCGAGTTGTAAAACCCCACCAACAAGACAACATGATAAACAAGTGGCCACCTTCTCAGGTGTACGTTCTGGAAACCGACCATAGCCCTTTCTTTTCGTCCCCTTCTTCACTCTTTGGCTTGCTGCTCAAAGCTGCTTCTAACTACTCATAGTCTAGCTAAATACAGTGTCTATATATATATGTATGTCCAAGTTTCTGATTGTAAAAACAATTTTAATTCACCGTAGATGACATCAAATGAATCAAAGTACTGTTTTTTTAAATTAAAGTTTAAATAAGTAGTTAGGAGTAGTAATTGGTAGAAATTCAAAGAAATCGATTTTAAATTTATGATTTTTTAACAATAATATTAAATTGATTAATTGGCCTATATCTTAATTTTTTTGGTACATACTATATATCTTAATTTCATAACATAATGTGTTATATAGGTTCATATTTTGCTTAATTTAGTTATATATATGTGAAGAGGATCAATCATCTTGTTATTTGATCCTCTTTATCTTGAGGATATGGGTGCACCTCTAACTGGAACAGATTTAAGAGTACGTAATGTCTGGGGATGGGATTACTCTCAAGAACTTCAAGCCAGCACTTCCAAGTTTTGTTTTCTCGTTCTTACCATTACCATTACCATACGAGGTTATGAAAAAAGGGTTTTATTAGGTTAGAGTTGAAGTGACGAAAAGGAGGGAACAGGTTTGCTTCAACGGTTTCTGTTCTCCTATTTATTTTATAGGGAACTACTATATCTACCCGCTACCCTCGTGATTGATATATATAGTAGAAATCAAAATCGAAAGTATGAGATAATTTGGACGCAGCACTTCCTACATGTTCTTTTAAAGTGAATTTGTATGGGATATTCAGGGTCTCATTTCTTCTGATGTTGAGAGAGCTAAACATAGAACTTGTAAACTTGAAAGTACCATTGTATTTTTTTTTTTGGTAAATCAGTACCATTGTATTTACTACAACTTTTCCAAGTATTAAATTCATTTACTTTCTTTGGGTAAATATGCAGATCTCTTGTCCTTTCCATGAGTTGTTGAGACTTGAAGGTACCACTGTGTTTTCTCTTTCTGCATATCTCTTTTAGTGCAAATATGCATGAGCCGTACCTTTATATCTCTAGCTCGTCGTTACTTTTTTTTTTCTTTATTAATTTTTTGGTATTTGATAATTACATTACATCTCAATTAATCCGAAATCGAGTCACATCGAATTCCATTAGGGAAAACTCTTCTAACGTCTGTTTTTCCATTCACGAAACTTAAACTCTAAATTTTACTTAAAGAAAACTAAATTTTTTTCACTCGAATCAACATATATTTAGTGTGTTACTTCTATTCCACTACGTACCCTCAAAGACAGAAAAAGGCAAAATAGAATGGAGGAATACAGACAATCTATTAAAAGAATAATGTTGATATTTTCTTGAATGTCAATACGTATTTTGCTACTTTCAATATGCAGTACAATGTGAAACCATTGGCAATAGATATCCCAATGGCATGAGAACCTGACCAGCGGCTATACCTGATAGGAGACAAAGAAGAGTACAAGGTCTGTGGTGGATTAATGGATCCAGTGGTGAAATTCATGTTCATGAACTTTTTCATTTATTTGTTTCAACGTTCCTGGAGATTCTTGAAACTCGCTCCAGGTTTTGGACATCCCCGATGAAAAGAATTGATCTAGGAAACCCTTGCAGTTGTTGCTATAGAATTATGTTTGGCAAAGTTTACTCACCATGGTTGCTTGTTGACATTGTTGGGAAAATAAAGTTCTACTGCTTGATTGAGACAAATAAAGCACCATTCAGGTACCGGACAGAATGTAGATGTTGCCAGTTTAAGTTTCATTGCGAGTCAACTTCACATGTAACGTTCATTCCTGATAAAAATTGTGAGCAAATCCTATTGCTGGATACCAGTAGTTTATGTTTCATTTTTTACCGTTCCATGCCATTCCATCTTTTCCATCCTGCTTTTGATTCATGCATATTAATAGAGGTCCTCGAAGGGATTTCATTTTAGGAATAGTTTTAATTTTGGTTTTTAATACAAAAGCCCCAACAACTTTGTGTTGCAAAGGTTTGAACCCTTGCCCTTAATCCCAAATCACGGTTTTTAAGTTAATAAATGTCAACTTAGTAAGCTCTTGTTGGTAACAACCTCAAGCTTTTTTAAACAATGCCAATGATCCAATTCACACGATTGGTTGCACGGATATGGTGGAGCTTCTCCAAATAGGCAGTCATAAAAATGCCATTTCAAATTCCTAAGTGCCCACAAATTTATTTCAACAAAAACAATATTGCCGTTCGGGATTCATAACCCAAGAATCAAAACAAACAGGGTGACTAAGACTAAAACCAGTCTAACTCAAGAACACAGTTCACCAGGAGGCACAAGCATCAAAGGTACACCTAAATTATGAAAAGTAAAATCTTTCCCATAAGATGGGGACACATCTACTGACTTTCAATACCTATGCGCCAACTTTTCCTTTTCCTGATAATGCTGCACGTACCTGCAAAGAAGAGTTTTCAATACTCAATAAACATAATATGCTATCAAGATATGGCCATAATTATCCACAAGTTACAGATTCAATTCATGTATTATTGTGCTTGCCTAAGCAAACTGCAACAGGAGTTCAATTTCAACATCATCCATAAAAAGCATTCAAGTTCCAGGTTACCGCACAAGTGTCAACAAGAATCCAAGCATCTACCATATTCTAACATTCTAGTCTTTTAGGCTGCTCCAAAGCAAGCTAATTGAAGAATCCATTCTAGTCAATAAGAAAACAGAAGATATGATATCCCACCAACCAAAGCATAATGTTGTTAATAATTACTACGAATGAATGAATCTACATTTCTGCAAAAATGTACTCAAACAACAATTCTCCAAAACCTATAGTGGTCCAAACAAATATATCTGAAATCGCCTATTTCTCTAATGACTAAGTTGTCGAGATCATGCCCTTGAGGATGACTTGAAAAACTAGCAAGAGTGTCAGAAACTAAAGAGGAGTGAATTGGCAAAGTCAAATGGAGCTGTAGTCAATCGAAGGAGAGTGACTACGCACTAGTATTGGCACTTTGAGAAAGGAAAGGCTTTTGTAATTGCGAGAGGCAAGAGTGTCGACACCAAGATATAAAGAATCCACCCTATGGAGGCCAGGAGGCAAGTTTAGGGATGCTTTTCAGGGGAGGTGGATAGGTTTGAGAGGATCCTAGAGTAAGATTGAGTTGAGAGTTGTAATGAGGATTTGGTGAAATCCATTGGGAGGAATTGTATTTGTATCATCTCTTGCTTGACAGAGGAGATTTCTCTCATTGTCTGTGGCCTTTTTCCAATTGAGGTTTTTCCAAATAAATTCGTGTGCTGATCTCTTTATGTATTCGATTCCATATAGATCCTGTGATTACTTGGGATTGCAATTGTGGTGTGATTAATCTAACATTAGCATATCGAAACAAATTATGCATAAATGGAAGATGGGTTTAGGCGCCCTAGAGTGAGATCCAATTATACTCAACCATCTCAATTAACAAAAATTGAGTTAAGCGAAAAATCCTATCTTTGCAATTCAGAAAGCCATAAAACCTAGTAGATTTATTAGGCAGTTCAACTATCGCCTATCGCTTAAAATTGCAAGGCAAAAACGAGAAAGGATGTTTATTTATTTAGTTAAAGAAAAGGGGTTGGTGGAATCCAAAAAGAATAACCAAGAGCTAAAAGAAAGATCAAGCCAGAAAAGACGTACGTGTAGGTGCTGATGAGAGGAGTGAGGAGGAGGGTGGCGCTAATCCAGTTCTCGGAGACCTTGTGGTGGATCTTCCCCGGCAGATCCTTCCAAAGGCCTGTCATTATCTTCTGCTGGAAGGGCGATAAAGCGTAGACAACAGCCTTCATCCTCACCGGCTGCTTCCCCATTTTCTTTGCTTTCTCTTTCTTTCTCAACAAAGACCGACGGAGTCTGGAACAATCGCCTTGACTTTTTCTGTCATATACCTTTATACCCGCAACTAAACGCAGCCTTTGCTAAAATTCTTGTCAAAAAGGGCATATCAGCCCCTGTACTCATCGTTCTGTAGCAGATCAGTCCCTCAACTAGAAACAGCGGCTTTTAAATCATCAAACCCTTCCAACAGTGGCAAAACTTTCAAGACAATAGTTGCAGTACCCTGAAGCCTTTCTCCGCGGAAATGGACTCTCTACTGTACACTTCAACGTGCAGCGCCATATCTTGGAGAATTGAGTCATCCACCAAAGTAGCAAACTTGGGTTTTCATTGCGGGTTTGCAACTTTGCATTCCCAGAAGCATCAATCTTTGTGCAATATTTATTGTCAGGATCTATCCAACCAACAGCAAACCATTGAAGCTTCCAGAGTAAGGAAGATCGCTGAAGCCCTCGAGCAGAGACAAAAGAGGGAAGTGAAAGTGTATTGCATTTTTGAGAAGGCTACTTTGATGAAAAGAAACTCTAAATTCCCTCATCACTACTTCTGTCAACAGTTTTTTTCTTTCTTTCTTTTTCCCTTAAGAGTGTAAAATTTTCATTTATCCTATCCCTCAACATACAAAGAGCAGCAAGAATGCTGTTACATTCAATGAAAAACTACAGTTTAAACTATACTTAATCCTTCACAACAAACTCAATCCCTCAATGTACTGCAATATGCATAGGTAGTACAGAAGATTTTGGTTTTATAAAAACCCAAAATCTTATTTCTTACATCAAATTGAATATGCCAAACTATCACCCATGCAGATTGAAATTTCTGTTTATGAATTCTGTTATTCCTTTCCTTCCAAACATGAAATACTACTGCTGTCCAGGCCAGTTTAATAAGAGTTCTGTGTAAAGCCCTTCAGAGACAGGAATCTGGATGAGGATTAAAGCAACTTGGAGACTAAAAAAACAATCGTTGGCAGTAATTACAAACTATGTCTACCACAATATGATATAAACAAGTTCAACAATTTGAACATGATATATCCATTCTTGTGGGACAAAAAGAAAATTGATTCACCACTTGAGTAATTTTAACACACAAATATAGAATCGTGAGAATGGTAACTAAAGACTCACTGCTTTGTAAAGAGGCTGTGAGTCAACAATTTTTACACTCCCCTTTAGCTATGCCCTCAAACCAATTCGGATTTACTTGTCTTCAAGAATGCAGAAGACTCAGAGCTCTCTTTTAGTGGAGGAGATAACAAGACTTTTTGACCAGCACGTCTGACTATCTGATTCTGATGACCTTCAGAACAAGAGGAAACGGTCCTTGTATACATCATCGTAGTGGAGCCCAAAATGTCACTTCCAAACCCACAAGCTTTGAAGAACAACCTGACACAAACTTAGAACATTAAGACTTGAGGCTCAGCCCAAGGTTTTCCCATCTATATACACACAAAAATCTGATCATGTCAGATATACAGCTAGAGGAGGGTTCCAATTCAAGTGTCCATTAATTTACCTCTCTTTTTCAGAGCAGAGGGCCGCTATGTCATATATACCTCTTGCTGTGAGTATTCTGAAGAGAAAAATGGCAGGAAAAGACAATTAAATTGCAGACAACTTAGTGCATATGATCAGATCAGATAAATATGTGAATGGTATGCTCTAGACATTAACATCTCCTGACCTTACAATTTTTTCAACTATTATTCTGCCGATTCCAATACCCTGTAACGAAGGAATAACCTGGAAGGCATTGAACACAATTATATGAATAATAAAAGGTAATGCCCTACCTTGAACAATATAACATGGGTGTCTAAGGAGTGGGAAGAGAACAAGAGCAAATAAAATAAACCCATATATCTAAGATCTCCACAGACATTTCCAATTCTAAGAGAGTAAAAATCTCATTTAGCCATCAAAATGAAAATTGTTCAAAAGTTTCCACATTGATAGATGCAATCAAGCAGTATGTGGCGGGCTTTTCCCTATTATGAAAGGAAATTGCGTACTGAAACGAAGAGATACTTTATTAATCAGTACCATGACATCGTAGATGGATGCCGTCAATCCAAAATCCGAAACAGCACGCCCAAACCCCACAAGCTGGCCGCTGTAGGGAGTGACCGGAAGCACTGTCTCGAGGAAACCTCGAACAAAGCCCTTGACTTGCTTCTGCTTTTGCTTCTCTGAGTTGGCGGTCTGAGTCAGATTCACATGCTGAGGGTTGCAGAAGATGGAGAGGAGCACTGAGCTGTGGGAGAGAGCAATTCGGAGCTTGGTGATGTCTATGACTTCATCAACTCTGCCAGTATGAGGGTCCACTCTGGGAAAGCGGTGGCACGAGTGACTGCAGTTGCCGTACAATTCTCTTAGCTCTTCAAGATTTATGTCTGATAGGTGGGTGGACATGTATATTGGAATCATTTGAGGCGGTGCCTTTGATTTTAGGCTTGTTTTCATATTACTTCTTCTACTTCTTATCCATCCTAATTCCATGGTGTAACATGAAAAACCCCCTCTACCGCCACCGCCTCGGGAGCTGCCACTTCGAATTGTCCGTTGGCTGGTGGTGGAATTGGAAACAGCAACCAAAGTTCCCATGTTTTCTATGAATCAGAAAACATAGTAGCTAACTAATGAGTTATGGATATGCTAGTTCCCTTCTGGATTAAACCAAAAAAATGAAAAATAATGAAGATGACTGTCACCTGCTCTGGTCACCATGCTGTAAAATAAGCAGCGCGATCCCAAAACTAAAAAATAAAATAAAAAAATAAAAATAGTGCCTATTAACTTATTACTTAAAAATTAAGAGAAAAATTATATCAAAATTATGTAATTTCAATAAATTTTTATTAAAAAAGACTAAATTACTTTATTTTTAAGGTATGTATTAAGGTGATTTTTATCTTCTTTTTTTTTTCTGTTTTTGAAGGTAAATCAAACAAATATTAAAAAATATATATATAAACTAAAAATTAAAGTATCGAAAAAAATTTTCACACGGGGTTTTAATGTTTGAGCTATAGTTTGGCTGCTTCTTTTGGTATTTTTGTAAATAATTCTTAGTTTCGTAACTCTAATTCAATAGATTAGATATTTTAATTATAAATAATAATAATTATTAGTTATTATGTATTAATTATTAGTTATTAATTATATTTAAATAATTAATTTAAATACTATATTAATCTTTACTTATTATCTACTGATTCTAAAATTTGATAGAGTCATGCTGTACTACTTCTGCTAATTATTAATTATTATGTATTAATTATTAGTTATTAATTATATTTAAATAATTAATTTAAATATTGCATTAGACAAAAACAGTTTTTAAACTTTACAGTATATTTAATTTGAAGAAAATAAAAAAAGGAAAAAAAATTCTTTTTCTTGTTTTGATTATAAAAAAATTTAGAAAGAAAAGGAAAAAATTTTGTTTCATTCTTTATTTTTCCTTTTACTTATTTATTTAAAAAATAAAATAAAATAAAATAATAAAAAATTAAAAAAAAAAATTTCTCCTTTCCTCACCACGCTGCCCTGCCCTTCCCTTTCCCTCATTTCCCTAATGCTTTTCCCATGCATTCGAAGTTTACTTTTAATCTTTTAACTTTTTACCTTGTTAGATTTATAGGTTTTAACTCATCATCTTTACTATAACACTTTAATTTATTACATATTAGAATTAAAGAAAATAACTCACTTATAATATTTTGTTAGTTTTGTTAATTGAATATTAATTCTATTAATTAACTATTAATTAACTGTTAATTGATAAAAACTTACTTTCAGTTAATAGAGTTAACAATTAGCTAACAGTAAGTTAACAAATAATTTTGTTAATTAACTGTTAATTTTATTAGTTAACTGTTAGTTGGTAAAAACTTATTTCAGCTAATAGAGTTAATAATCAGTTAACAAAACTAATGAAATATTATAAAGTGGGGGTTATTTTTTTCAATTCTAAAAGATGAAAGGTTAAAAGTATCATAACGTAAAATGATAAGCTAAAACTTATAAACTTAATAAAGTAAAGGACCAATGGTAGGATTTTGCTTACATTCATAAAGTTAAAAGAATATTGCAATATCCTTTAAACTTGAATTTTACAATGCCGACGTGGACAGTCTTGAGCAAAATTTGCAGCATTAATTTTGGTCTCGAGTGGTTGTTATTGACGTGGGACTCGGAGTGGGTCAGATTAAAACACAAGTGCTGGGCTGGTTTTGATGGAACCCACTTCACAGTAGCAGGCAGGTCTAGGCCTGGTATATTCTTTTGTTTCGAATCTCATTCCGACTCTATTCTATTCAAAATTTTTTGGTCCCTCAACTTTAGTGTTTTAAACTGATTTGGTCCCTTAACCCAACTTTACACATTTTAATTCCTCAATATCAAAAATCTGTACCAAGCTCGTCTCTCCATCAATGGCTCGCTGACATGGCCTGTTTATATTGAAGTTATACAAACGGGAAATGCTTAAATTATTTAGATGGTTTTAATTTAAGATTTTCATTTTAAAAACTTTTGTAATTACTAGAAACCAAAATTAAATATAAAAAATTAAAATTTATTTAAAACAAGTTTTAAGACTGATAACTAAAACTATAAACATATTCAATGGTATTAAAACCATTTTGCTATATGTTAAATATTACATGAAAATAAACTAATTTGTTGTTTAGAATTTGAAAATTTATAGAAATCAAAATTAAAAACAAAAAACTAAAACCATATATTAAATGAAGCCTTAGATTATAAAGCAATTCCTATATTGATTGAAAAATAAAATTGAAGCAATTTCTTTTAGAATAAAATTTGCATAAATGTACTAAAATTAAAATGTGTAATATCATTTATACCAAGTTAAAGACATCAAAAGAATGTTTTATTGTTTTTGGAAATTGACCTTTTGCTGTAAAAAAAGAACAGGCTTAAAAGAGATTAATTGAGTGGATTATATATGGTGGATTTTTTGAATTTTTTAAAATAATTTTAATAGATGAAAGGATTGTGATGACTAGGTTTTTTTTGTTAAAAAAAATTAAATTTTATTTGCCATAAAAAAAAGAAAGATTTTAGACCAACTTTGCCAATTTTCTTATTGTTTGGCTGTGGATGAGCATTTTTTTTAAACATATTATAATTATTTATAAGTTAATTGAAGATTGAAAAAAAGTTTTTTGTGGGGTTAAAACGTACAATCATTAAAAGTAAATAATTTTAAATCAAAGTGAACAATTTTAAACCAAAATCTAATGCGGTTGAATCGAAACGAACCGTCCGGCTGTGGATGGGCATTTGGATTGGGTGTCAATTGGAGAGATGGATGTTGCATTGCCGACTTGGGGTGGGACCGTGGGGAAGTGAAAGTCATAATTGTAATGGGTATTGACATGGATTGGAAGGCAGGCAATGTGGCATGGAGATCAATCAATCATCCCAAAGCAATGTCGTTGCTCAAAAAGTAAGATGATAAGCTTGAATGAGAAGGTGAAGCTTTTGCTTCACCTCATTACATTGCCCGTCCTTGGTCAAATTTTTTGGTAAAGATTCGGTACTATAAGGCTTGGCTTGGCATGGCAATACTGTGCTACGATGTGTTATTGTAGTAGATTTTTTACTTTTATATTATATAAAAATATAAATTTATTTATATATAAATTTTATATATTATATTTACATAATATTTTGAATATTTATTTTTTTATTTTAATAATTAAGATTTATTTTTTTTATCATATGTTATTAAAGATTATTAATTTTTTTATTTAACAAATCAAGATAAATTTTAACCATTAAAAAAAAATTTAGTAGTTAAAATTTTATATAAGCGTAATGTATAAAATTTATGTATAATTAAATAAATTCTTACTCAATATATAAATATTAATTAAAATTAATTAAAAATTAAAAATTTATCTAATGTGCTATATGATGTGTTTTGTGAAAAAATCCTCCGGAAACAAAGTTTTTTGGGTAAATGATATTTTTAGTCCTTAAAGTTTGTCTACTCATTCCTTAATCCTTAAGGACATAGTAGTACCATCTTAGGGAATTTTTTTAATTCATGCTTTTAAATCACATGTTAAAGATATATTTTTAAAATAAATATATATTAAAAAACATAAAATATGAAATTAATTTCATTATTATATTATTAAGTAGATAAATTTAATTAAATAATTAATAAATTAAAAATTAATTATTATTTTTAACTTAAACTAATAAAAAATATATTTACTATTATTAAAGACACATAACAAAAAAAAACCTTTAAATTAACCCATATAAATTTAGACAAAAATGAGTTGGGATTTTACTCCGTCGATAGCCGAGCCATTTTTCTTTGGCAAAACCTATGGTCAAACACCTAGACTCTTCCCATATTAGTTTATAAGCCCTTAAACTAATTTTTAGGCGTATAAACCCCTAAACCGCACGATTGCTTGCTGCAAATTAGCTCCTCAGTTAACAGCACCGTTTGTCTCCGTTATTATAATTGATGGCTTCGTTTAGTTTCCGTTAAGATGGCAGGTGAAAAAAATGAATAATTGCAATTCACTCCACTAACTTCTCAAATTTTAAAGGGAGTTAATCCCTAAACTTTAACTAGTTTATTGAGTAAAAAAACTTTAATTAAAAACTTAACTAATTTATTGAGTTAAAAAGGAAAACTTAATTAAAGCCTTCATGCTGTTGCTCCGTCTCCACCAACATTTCAAGATAGACACTTTTCTAATGGTTTTGTACCTTGAATATTCAAATGAAAAATGAAAGTAGAAGCTACAAGATAGATACAAACGGGAGAAGTGGGGGTAGGGAATGATAAGACCCTCTTAACTCCAGCCTTTTTTGTAGCTCCTCCATATCGAAGATGACAAAAAAAATTGGAAGTTGGACACTTAACCTCCAAAATAATGACAAAAGGAGCATATTATAATTTAGGTCGTTTTTTTTCCAAACAATCAACGCACAATAACCATAGATGATTTTTTCTTTTTGTTTTATTTGGACTTTTATAAAGTGTTACCACCAATTAGTATTGTAATAAATGGCTCAATAAAAATGATGAACAATTAGCAACAAAAAATTTGTGAAATAATGTGTATTTATATTTTTAAACCAAACAACAAGTTTTATTGCATTTGGGCCTTTGGGCCTAATAACGTCAGGTTACGTATAAATGCATTCCGTTACTCTCAGAGCAACGGTTCGAATACGGTTCCTTGCGAATTTGTTTTAAAAAAACAAAACAAGAAGTTTTTTTATTTTGAAAGAGTACAAAGGTACCCTAAACTTTATATATACCTATGAAAATTATCTCAAAATACTTGACATCTAGTCGCTCTTCTTTCTCAAACCTTACAGCAACTCCATATTCCATTGTTCTACATGGTATCGTTCCCAACAGTTGAACTTATCCTAGCAGAACTTAAACACTGAGTAGGTCAATTACACCATTTAGGCAAAGTAAAATCATTTAGCTCTAACTTTTCTTGACCCACAAATAAGACTTTACTTGGACATACGGGCTACAACACCTTATTAACATTTAGCAAATAAGGTTTTTTTGGTACATAATGGGATCTTTAACTGAGTGGCTAAATTGCTTCAATCATGCAGCTTGAAGGCTT